AGTAGATCTTGGCACAGTTATATGGTTTTGTTGATTTTATGCAACACAGGAATACCATAATATTCAGTAGCCAACTGATCCTGTGCATTACTGGTAAATTCTGTTAATGGGCATGAGAAACAAGGTGCTTCTTGCATGCAAGTCTTCCTGGAAAGACAGTATGTTCAGTGCTAGCTGCGGAGCAGCCCCTGGGCAGAAACAAACTTGAGGTATGAATTTCTTATTGATGTTGGTTAGATAGTTGAACTGTAGCAAATTGAAATGTGTTTTGCATGTTGTACACGCGTGAGGGTGACGGGTATCGTAACGGGAGAGTTCAGCAGATAACTCCTAGGTCATGATGAACTATCCTACTGATAAATGGAGTTTTTTTAGCTCAACTTTGGGAGATAGGCTGTTAGCTTATATAAAGAAATAAGGCTTCTTGGTTATTATTAGAAGTGTTAATGAAGAAAGAGGTACTTCGGCTGGGGTGAACTAGCATGGAAGCTATTCAAACTTGCTTAGGAATTAAGTAAGACAGAGTGATTTCAGTTTTGCCTTGCCCTGTCCCGCCTACATTGGATCTGCCCAAACTTGCTTTGGAAAGTTGAGTCTTGCGCAGCGAGACTCAGGAGGAGCAAAGAATCCTGAGCAGGAAGCGCTGGAGGAGGAAGATGACTCTGGTGTACTCGCAGTGTTCGCTGCTTTGCTTAATCTCTTTTCTGTCAACTGTATTGCAGAAATACTCAATGGAGATGTCACTTGGCTGGCGTGCCACACAGTTTGTAAGCTGGAGTTCAGTTCCTCAAGGTTAAATGTAGTGTTTTCCAGAACTTTTAAATGTAAGAAGCAATCTTATGTCCTGCATTCATCAAAGGCATAGATTGTCTTGGGTTTTGAACAAACTTAAGTCATGCTGATAGCACGATAGCTGACAGCAGGGCAAAACACCTTAGACGCGGTCAGGTCGTGGAGTCTTTGCTGTTGATATGATAGAGCATCATGAAGTGAAATTGTTGTGCTAAGCGTCTCTTACCACGTCACAGCTTTTAGTAGGTTACCAAGCAGTCTTGAAATAACTGACAAAAAATTGAACTGTTTTCATATCAAAATTAAGTTGCCAGAATTGAAAAATAATTTGCACGTAGCAGGAGCTGTTTAATATCTGCTGTTTCTTCAGCCATGGCAGATTGTTGGATATCAGAGTTTCCTAAACCATCTCCTTTATACAGCTACGTACAGACTTCTGTTATTTCAAGCAATGTGCATGGTAGTCATAAACCGGGTAACTGAATAATCATGGGCACCTTTGTGTGTGTGAGAAAGGGATAGGATGATCTGACAAACAGCTTTCTGAAGCTGCTCTCTCTCTGCTCTGATGCTGCCTTCTGTGGTGCTACCGAATCCGTAACTGTGCCTAACTGCTTCTAAAGCACTCGTCCCACGTGCTGGTGTGGAGTGAACGTGGTGCGGCCTGGGAGGGTTGGAGAACACAGTGGTTGTCTTTCCATGCTGCTCATAGAGGGAGCAGGATTTTGGAGGGGAGCAGTGTGTCAGGGTGATGTGCTAGTGGTGCGGGAGTTTCTTCTTTCATGCCAGGCCGTGTTAATAATATCAGTGTCTGAAGAGAGTAGTAGTGTGTGCGTCTTACTCAACTGGGTTTTTCTGGGGTTTCTTTACTATGTTGCAAGCTTTCTTTAGAGCGTGTCTGCAGCCTGCTGAAGTACTGTGTGTATTGAACTGCCTGTTTCACACCTCTGGTGTTCTCAAACGCCTGCCAGAAACTTCAGCTGAAGACAAAGTTGTTTGCACTGTTGCTTGCTATGCTTGTGTGACTTCAGAATAACTCATTTTTAAAAACTGGTACATGGCAGTGAGTGAGGCGTTCCTCTTCTCAGTGGCAATCACCAGCAATCAAATTAACTAATTTTGATGGAGGATTATACATACAGAGAAGCTGCTGATCCTTTTTTCTTGTACATAGGGTAAAAACTGCTGTTGTGCAGTTGACTTCCTGCGGGCTGACAGGAAAATCTGGTGGATTGTCATCATTCTTTACAAAGCAGTGGTACTTATTAACCTGCTGTGGTTCAGTTCCCAATCAGTTCTCCTCTTGCTTTCATTATTGATGGTGTTCTACAGTAGAGACAGATGAGATAGCCTCAGGAGTAGTGGCCAATTGATAGGATGTTGTCAAGGGGTCAGTATATTTAGAAGTACAGACAGTGATAATCTGCAGAGCCTTGTTTTGTTTTGGGCCTGGACTTCACAGTAGCAAATTGTTAAAAAATTAAAGTGCTCACAAGCAAGAGAACCACTTGGAGTAACTGCACGTCCAAAACGTTGAGCGTGTGGGTGGACACCTTAAAATGGAAAATGGCAACTAAAGCTGTTGAGGTGTGATAAGCTGTGAGCTTCAGTGCAGCCTTACAGAGGAAAGCATCTGAAAAGATCGCAGTGCTGCAGCTCTGCTGTATGTATCTTGTTATGGATGCAGCTTCTTTTTCCTGACTGGTATCAGTAGCCTAATAACTTGTTACTCCGGTGCTTGCAGGCAGTATCAAGTTTAATGCTTTGCTTTTTTTTTGTGAGCCCTAAAATTCTGGGTCTAAAAATAAATTTGTTGCAAGAAGTTGTTATTTGTTTCTCAAAGAACTTTGGCAGCAGTGTCAGTGCTGCTTTTTCTAATCATTTCTCTGAGACTGTCCTAGTTAAAGATATCTGAATTTTGTTGTCCTTGAAGTTCCTTGCTTAATCTCATCTTTAGATGCATGAGCTGTAACCGCTGGCTGGGGTTGCTGGTTTCTTGGGTTTTTGAGTTTTTTGTTTGTTTGGCTTTGTTTTTTTTGAGGTTTTGGGGTTTATTGAGAGCTTTATATAGACCGTTGTCTGTATTTGCTGAGAATGAGTTTAAAACCATCAGGTGTAATAAGAGTGCAATTTTTAATGCATAAAGGCTTCTGAGAGCATATCTTTTTGTCTCTGCTAGGGTTGTGGTTGTGAGGGTAAATCTATGGATGAAGGAAGACAATTCCACAGGCAGGGAGCAGTGGTGTTTGTCAGTGCACCTGGCTGTCAGGCTTTCTCCACGCTCTGGAAAAACCTCACCAAATGTAAAACCTGTGCCTGATTAGGGAGCTAATCTGTGTTCTTCAGAGAGGATCATCTCCTGCTCTGCTGAGCAGCGAGCCACAGATCTTGAAAACACTGAAAAGAGAGCGCGTTAGGCCAGTGCATGCTATGTTGGTTGTAGTTTCTCGCATGGACTGAATTTTGTGAGTCCAGAGCAGCCTTGGTTCACCACGCGTTATGGGACGTAAGGTTTTGTTGAACTGTGGCGTGGCTTCGAAGCGTTCATCACCACATCCCTTGACAGCGCTGCCACACATCCGTTGCCGGTGTGTCTGACGTACGGCTGTCACAGGCTATGGCTGGATCATTTTCTTCCCAAATTAGCTATGTGGCTGTTAGTTCTGGGAGGAAGACATAAAGCAGTTAATCATTAATTCCATGGAAACATAATCTGATCTGCATGATTCTACCCCTTCCCTTGTCAGCATTAATGCAACTGATGTGTTTTTCTTCCACGGAGTTAAGTTTTAGATGGATTAGCTCCTTGAACTGGTTTGGAATGGTGTGGTACTCAGTTTGTCTACCTGCAAGCTGGTAACGAAGATGTTTTCTAATTAGGAAGTTAGAGCTGATGTTACATTGAGACGTAACAGTAGTTTGTGTAGATTTTTGTCCCTGATATGCTATGAAAGCCTATGGTTTTTTCAGTTTTTCTCCCTTTAAAGCAACATTTTTGGATTGTGGCCCAAAGAAATATTCTTCTGAATTGAAATATTTGAGGATTTTTTTCTGAATTAATTCCACTGTGGAGCAGAGTCTCCAGACTAATTTCTAACTTCTGCCTTATCTGGGTATTGATCCTCCTTGATTTTTTTTTTTTAATTAGCAACATTATTATGATTAAATTTTTTTTTAGCAGAAAAGAGTAATACTGGGAGCTTGGTGCTGCTTCTGCATAGGTGAGAGAGGGCATTTGTTTTGACAGGCCGGAGATAACCACATGTGAGTACTGGGATAGTGCTGCCTTATCTGGGTGTGCTTTGGGACAAAGTAAGCACAGAAACCTTTCTGCCTGTTCCCGCAGGCAGTGAGCTGGGCTGGGGCTCCTCTTCATCTCCGTGTGCACCTGTCACCTGAACCGCAGCAAGGGCCATGTCTCTCCAAGTATCTAGCCAAGTATTTTAGCCTGGAGAAGAGAAGGCTGAGGGGAGACCTCATCACCACCTACAACTGCCTCAAGGGAGGTTGTGGAGAGGTGGGTGCTGGTCTCTTCTCCCAGGTGATGGGGGATAGAACAAGGGGAAAGGGCACCAAGCTGTGCCAAGGGAGGTTCAGGTTAGAGAGAAGGAGGAAGTTCTTTCCTGAGAGGGTCGTCAGAAGCTGGAACAGGCTGCCCAGGGAGGTGGTGGAGTCACCATCCCTGGATGTATTTAAAGAGCGGGTAGATGAGGTACTTAGGGATATGGTTTAGGGGGTAGACAGGAACGGTTGGACGTGATGATCTCGGAGGTCTTTTCCAACCGAGCGATTCTGTGATTCTGTGATCTTTCTCCGTTCTTATCACCTGCACTGGAGGGGTGGTGCAGGCGTTTTGTCGTGCTGTACTGTGCTACTATTGACGTTCTTGAGAGCGAGTTGAAAATATCATTTGCTATGATGCGAGTGTCCCTGGTGTGCTGACATAACAAGGGGTTAATGAAATCTGCAATTAGGAAACCTTGTGCTAGGAAAGAGCGACTCAGTCATGAAGTGCTGGGCTGTGGATTTGAGAGGACACATTAGCAGGCTAACATGGAAGGGGCACAACAGCATTTACTGCTGAGTGTGGGTCTGTGACCTGCTATCGCTTCACTGGGGCTGACAGAACTTGGTCCCTAACTGTTGGCATTCACCTGTTTGGTTTTCTTTCTTGCAGTGAGCACTGGGTCACCCACTCACTGCCCAAGATGGTGAAGCTGGATATACACACGCTGGCTCATCACCTCAAGCAGGAACGATTGTATGTGAACTCAGAGAAGCAACTTATTCAAAGGCTCAATGCAGATGTGTTGAAGACAGCTGAAAAGCTGTACCGCACGGCGTGGATTTCCAAGCAGCAAAGGATTAACTTGGACAGACTGATCATAACGAGGTGACTTGGGGTGCGGGGGTGGTCCTGGGGAGAACAAGCTCCGAAACTGCTGTGAACCGCAGCAGATCCGTCAGATTTTTCACATGTAGTATCTGAAGTCCTAAGCATAAAAATAGTAAGAGTTTAAAACAAATCTCAACTAGGGAATTTGACTTACTTGAAATATATTCCTTGGCTGTTTAAGCTACCTTTTTATTATATGTATTTGTTTTGTTTCTATTCATAGTTTATGGGAATAAACTCTCCTTATTCCTGAACTTGCAAATAATTTCTCTCAACCAAATGGAAAGACCTTTTTCCTTGGTGGTAGTCTTGTTAGCAGATTGACCATGTGTCATCCTGTATGAAGTTTGTTTGCTTAAGAGTTACCTAAACTGTTTAAATGTTTTTCTTTTAAGCGCTGAAGCTTCTCCTGCTGAATGTTGCCAGCATGCTAAAATCTTGGAGGACACACAGTTTGTGGATGGATATAAGCAGTTGGGATTTCAGGAGTCTGTTTACGGCGAATTCCTAAACAGACTGAGAGAGAACCCTAGGCTTATTGCTTCCTGTTTGGTTGCTGGAGAGAAGCTCAACCAGGACAACACTCAGAGTGTCATCCACACAGTCTTCACCTCCATTTATGGCAATTGCATCATGCAGGAGGACGAGAGCTACCTCCTCCAGGTCCTCCGTTACTTGATTGAGTTTGAGCTCAAGGAAAGCGACAACCCTCGGCGGCTGTTGAGACGAGGCACCTGCGCGTTCAGCATCCTGTTTAAACTTTTCTCCGAAGGACTCTTTTCTGCAAAACTTTTTCTTACTGCAACTTTACATGAGCCAATCATGCAGCTTCTGGTTGAAGATGAAGACCACCTGGAGACTGATCCAAACAAGTTAATCGAGAGGTTCTCCCCTGTACAACAGGAGAAGTTATTTGGAGAGAAAGGCACAGAAAAGTTCAAGCAAAGAGTCCAAGAGATGGTTGACTCCAATGAGGCCAAGCTGGTGACCTTGGTGAACAAATTCATTGGCTATCTCAAACAAAATACTTACTGTTTTCCTCACAGCTTGAGGTGGATAGTGTCACAGATGTACAAAACGCTCTCGTGTGTAGACAGGCTGGAGGTTGGGGAGGTCAGAGCAATGTGCACAGATCTTCTCCTAGCGTGTTTCATCTGTCCTGCAATTGTTAACCCAGAGCAGTATGGGATCATTTCTGATGCTCCTATAAACGAGGTGGCAAGATTTAATTTGATGCAGGTATGATTCACTTTAAACTAGTCCTAAAAAAAAATATGTATGAGAGATGTTCTTGGCCTCTTTTTTCCAGTAGAACTGATGTTACTGCAGTAAAGGTGAAGGTACTGTCCCTCCTACCTGTAAGACGAATGCTAACAAAATATTTGTGTTATCGTGGCTGAAAAGGCATGCTCTAAAGTTTATCTGTTTGCTTAAAATACTGACTTAAAGTTTCAACAGCACGCGTTCCTTTGCCTCCTAGAAGAGTTGCAGATGTACTTTATAAGAGCTATTATAAGGGATGGAAGCAAAAGTGTAAAAACAACTGTGAGGTGAATTCTGGAATGTGTGTAGATGGGTGTTGTGGTGTTCTTGCTAATGTTAAATATTACGCCAGGTATTGCACAAAATAATGAAATATTTTGCTGAAGAAACCTTCCTGTCTGGCAGCAACGACCACTGTTTCTGCTGGGTAGCTATCTGCTGTTTTGTTAGGCCTTAGAGTATTCCCCAGCTCTCGTGACAAATGTTTGTCCTTGTGCAAATACTTGGGCAATGTAGCGATAGTGCGTAGAGGTGCAGTCTGAGGGTATTAAGCAACACTTGACTGACTGGGGATATCCCCCCACAAGCAACAAAACATACTTTGTGTTGTCTGTGAACTGGGCAGTGAGTGGTGCTCACAGCGTAATAGTTCTGGTGAGTTTTACTCACTGGACTCTGTCACCACTTGCACGTTGTAGCAGAGCTTCAGGTGGCGACTCTTTAAAGTTGAGAGTTGTTTTGCAGTTGGAGATTAATAAGAAATACGTGCTCTGAAACAAAGCTTAACCCTCTTGGCTATTTTTTTCTCACTCTTAGTAAAATACATACAGCCTTTTGAAATCTCTAGGTTTAAGGTGACCTAGATTCAACTCTCATTTCTGTCGTGCTGTAAAAACAAAACATGCTTTGTTCCTGGGAAGGGGGGAAGTATGGATGGTCATAGCACACTATGTGCAGATTTTCTTCTTAAATGCAATGACTGCTTTCTGTCTAAAGCTTCTTGCACATTTTCCACCCTGAAAGCAACGATAAGACCCTGTCCACTCAATCAGAAGTATTTCACAGAGTATTAAATGAAAAAAAAATTAGAATGGGGGAATTTTCTTAACTATTTTTTGTAACGGGGTCCATCATGATGGTTTTTTGAATTGCTTATTCCTCACGCTGCTTTTTCGTTTCAGGTTGGGAGACTTCTGCAGCAGTTGGCAATGACAGGATCTGAAGAGGGAGATTCACGCATGAAGAGCAACCTTGCTAAATTTGACAAAGTAAGAATCCAGACTGAAAAAAGCTAAGACTCGTGTGTGTGCTTCATCCTTCTGAAGTCTCTCTTTTCAGACATTGCAAAGAACTTACTAAGTGGTTTACTTCCAAGTTACAGGTACTGAAAAGCAGATTAAACCCTGCACGAAGCTGGGAACAAAATCTTGATTACTAGGGTTAAAGGTCGGGGATTCTTGCTTCTGCTCTGTCATAATGCTTCGTAAAATAACACACAAAAAAGAAATAAAAACAAGTTGGCTTTCAAACTGGAATGCTGAGTTACTGTCTGTGGTTTTTCTACTGAACCTAAAGAAAACACTTAGATCTGAAGACAACTTTTGTATGAAATCTGGTTTAACACCAAATAATTTGATAGTGCAAGTAACTTCTGTTCCTTTTTTTGTGTAGTTTTGCTTTTCTTGTTCAGCTTTCCCTTTCTTAGTATGAATTTTCCATAGCAATACTGACATTGAAACGGTGAAACTAACCATCTGCTGTATTGCAATATATTTTAAAACTGTTGATTTGCTTGTGTAACGTCCAGGTTTTTGCTAGTTATAATTGTTACACAGGCATCATACAAAGTTACAGATTTGTTGTGCAAGTAACATTCAGACAGATTAGGAAATGATACTGTGTATTGCTTCCTTGTTTCACTTTTAGTCTGTGCTCAGCAGATTCTTCAGGAAGGGGCAGTTTAATTGCCCTAGGACAGTTTAATTTTTTTAAAAATGTTGTCAGAAGATGGTTAAGACACTTCTGAATGCAGGAAAGGAATGAAGGGAACGCAGAAACTATTTGCTTGCTTTCCTTGCCTGCTCTTCAATGGTTTTAATGATACGTGGTATTTTATCCTAAGATTTTAAAAGTAGGAAGCAAAACTTAAATTGTCATGTAAGCTCCTGAACTCTTCTGTTCTTTTCAAACTGTAGTGAATGGTCTCTCGTCTGAAAACTTCTCATTGCAGAGCTGTGTGGCTGCGTTCCTGGATATCGTTATTGACGGACGTGCGGTTGAAACTCCTCCTCTGTCTTCTGTGAACCTTCTGGAGGGGCTGAGCAGAACAGTGGTTTACATGACCTACAGCCAGCTGACTACTCTGGTAACTAAGTTCTTAAAAAGAAGTCATATCAACTTATCCCCACGTGTTTACAGATAGGATAAACAAGGCTGATAATTTGCACTGCTCTTCTTGCCAACACTAACTCTAAATTTTCAGGTTGGCTTTATGCGGAATGTAATGTCCAGCGATCAACTTAAGGAAGATCGGATGGCTTTGGAAAACCTGCTAGCAAACTTACCCCAGAACAAACCAGGGAAAAGCAGCAGCCTTGAAATGACTCCGTATAATACCCCACAACTTTCTCCTGCAACTACTCCGGCTAACAAAAAAAATCGATTACCAATAGGTAAGGAGAGCAAGCAGACTTCTTGCATGATTTCTGATACCTTGGTACAGTTTCTGTGCCATTTTTTCAGTCATCTCCTGGGGTTTCTCTTTGACTGCACCTTCAGTTCCTACTTTTGCTGTGTAGATGGTGAAGAATTTTCTTTTGCACAGAAAGCCAGGTAACTTCCGTACTTTCTGACACAAGTACAGTGAGCTTCATCACTCTGGATTGAACTTGAGAAAAGCACTGGAGTGGTTGGTAGTCACACTAGCACAGTGATAATAAAGGGAAAGTTTGAGGATGGGAAGCAGATCGAGGAGGCAAGATTGCTTAGGAAAGTGGTAAGGTGGAAGCGATGACATTGAGTTAGTGGGATAGAATAAGTTTAAAATTTTTGTGTCTGAGAAAAGAGCAAATGTGGAGGAGAATGAAAAAGCAAGAGCAGAACTTTTAGAGTATGTGCTCAGGAGAGAACCTTTTCCTCCTCAATTATCTTCCCAGTTCAATTCCCATTTTTAGTATAGTGTAATGCGATTTTGTGTTTGTTGGGGTTTTGTCCTCTTTTTGAATAGGATTTCAGGGTCTTAAACGTTTCCACTTCAATAATATTTTCTCTTAAAATAGGAAGTGTGTAGTACTCTTCTTCAGTGAATAATTACATGAATGTGGCCACATGGGATGTTTTTGTTTGGAGAGATTTGGTGTTAGTATGTAACAAGATGAAAATGTGTAGCACCCAGTAAGTGCCTGTACGCTATAAAACCCACAAAACCAACCTGAAACAAACCTATCCCACGTTGGTTTGACTCTGCTTCTGAATGGTTCTGGTCTTATGCCTATAAAGTAGTGGCACAACAGCGTTTATTTTGTGGTGTAAAATAGTTTTTGCTCAAAGTTTTTGTTTCTTTTGTTTCATTTTAATGCTTTCGAAATGCAGGACAGCAATTGGCAGCCATTACTGCCTGGGATACTTCTGCTACAAATCTTTCAGCTCATATAACTCTAGTAACCCCTTTTGGTGGGTAATGCCCTCTTTCCGTTCTTTTCTGTGAAACTTATAACACAAGTTAAGCATGCCTTTGGTTTGCCCTGACAATCAGTTGCTTTTTCAGATTTCTTCATTGATTTCTTTGTGAAACTCATGTCCGTGTAGTTTGTAAAAACACCTCATCTGCCTTTCTGTGATAATTGGGATTTGGCTGTGCCTTCCACACACTTGCTTTGTTTTCCCTGGATCAGATAAAGAAATAACCGGTGTCATGCTGCCATACTTAGAAATCTTAATTCCATGTGGGCGTTTTTCCTTCCACTGTGCCAAACGTAGGACTATGAGGCTGCCTGAAAAGACTAATAAAGAGTCACAAAATAAAGTGAACCACCTGATGTTGAGTTGTGGCTGGTTTGAGACACCTGTTAGAATACGATTTCCCTGCTTTTTAGGAGAAAAAAAAACTTCTAAATAAGTTAATTAAACAGTGTTACAAACCACAGGAACCTAGACCTTTTTTGGTGGTGGCAAACTTCATTTTCTCAAATAATTTTTAAGGGTCTTTCAGTGATTGGAATACTCCGAATTTGTGTAGGCAAACACGACATAGTATACTTTGGTTCCCTAAATTTTTATGGTGAAAGTTTGCTTTTTCACAGTTCAATACTCAAATTTAAACACGAGTCCCATCTCTCGGTCTAGTATGACTTTTCATTTTGTAAGTTTATTTAGCGTGTGTGCTATTAATTCAAAACATTGCCATTCTGTATTTCCATCGTATTTTGTTTTTGTTCCTCCTCAAACAAGGAAAAGCTTTCTAATCTTGATATTTCAAAATACTTTCTTAGCAACTCGTAGCAGAAGTAGATCAAATATTCTAATGGATCAGCATGGAGATCATGAAGGATCCTCCCAGGAGACTATCCCAGAAGTTCAGCCAGAAGAAGTGCTGGTGATCTCTTTGGGGACAGGTCCACAGATTACTCCAGGAATGATGTCAGAAAATGAGGTATGTGAAAACTGTCACGTCTCAGATGTTTTAAAAGCATCTGTTTTTAGATGTTTTAGAACACAGAGCCTGTGTTCTCTAATGGCAGAACAATGAAGTTGTGACGCTAAGTTCAGGTAATGGAAATTAAAATCCTTACTTCATTTTAGTTAACTTGGGGGTTACAGCTTTCAAATTTCTCTGTATTAGATGTTGTTTTTTTCCCCTCACTTAGTATATCTGCAAAGTGTGAAAAGCAATATACTAACACGGGAAAAATGATCCTGGCAAATTTATGAAGAGGCTTTGTCACCTAGCATGCTTACAAGCAAGCTTGGGCTATTGTTTCTGAGCCCAAAGAAATGGATTCAGTTATCTCCCTGCATGCTGTGTCCTTTGGATAAGTGGCACAGGTGAATGACAGAACTGGAGCACAGATCCCGATGTTTTTGGCAGCTCAGACTTGAAACACGCAGGCCCAGCTCCTTGTGAGGGCGGAGCTGTGGTCATGTTGGCGTGAATGCCTTCAGGCTGTGGTCTGTAGGGTAAGGCTGGGTTTTTACAGCCTTTGCTTTCACCAGCCGTAGCACAGCTGCTGCTTTCATCTTTGCTTCCTTGCCTGATAGTTTGGATTACCTTCTTTTGCAGCCTCATAGCAATCAGCTTCCGTATTACATTGGTCTGCTGGGGCGATGAGGGAGCTGGTGGCTCCATTATTATCAGGACTTGCCTTGTGTTCATGTCTTGGTTACCTTGCATTCTCTCCAGGCTCTGACTTTGGAGATAGCTGGGTTTTTTCAAATGGAATGTTAGAAATTTGATTGTGCCATTAACATCTAGGGAGAACAGTGCAAAAGTATGTGCAATGTTTTGTTTACTGTTTAATTCTCAAAAAAATAGATTATTTTAAGGAAATTTTGTTTCTTTCCCCACTCTCCCAGGTCTTAAATATGCAGCTTGCAGATGGCGGACAAGGAGATGTCCCTGTTGATGAAAACAAACTCCATGGTAAACCTGATAAAACCTTGCGCTTTTCCCTCTGCAGTGATAATCTGGAAGGAATATCTGAAGGTGAAGGGCTGCTTAAGTCTTGAAGAAGTTTTGTTCCCCCCCTTTTTTTTTTAACCATCAAAAGAACTTCTGTTCAATACAGCATGTCATCTCTGCCATTTTGAAGACTCTGCTCTTTCACCCTGAGCCTGTCTTTTCTCTTAGCCATTCAAAGAAAACAGTCTGGAGCTAAATTGTGACTTGCAAAGGCATAACTGAGTCTAAGAATCAGGAAGAAAAAAACTTTCTGCATTTAGAAGGAGAAAACAGAGGATTTTATTTTTTTTAGCTTAAGTGCAGTACTAATTGTTAAGATAATCTGATTTAGTGGTAAACTTGAACTTCTCAGAGTTATTTTTCATCATGCTTTAATAAGCTGTTGTATATCTCAGAACAGCTTCTGGACTCTGACAGTTCCGGTCAGAACCTCAGACACAGCAAAGCACAGGTTTATTTGTAATCCTGAAGATGTTGGTACAGATCACTCAGCATGCATTATGTTGTGTAACTTCCATAACTTAGTTTTTGTGCTCTGTCTCCTCAAAATAAAAAAACAAATTCATGGACAAGTAAACAAATTAAGGGCAGAGACTTTTTGGTTACTTTTAAGTACAGTAATTGTGAAATTCCAGCCATTTCTGGTAATGTATTTGTAGATTATTATTATTAGTGTGGTACTCTAAACAGGGAAAGTGCAAATCACAGTGCGGGTTAGGTATCTACAGAATAGGGATCAAAAATAGAGCAAATGTACATTTAGTTAAATCAATTCAGTGCTTTATATTGGAACTGCTACTTCATTTCTTTTCATCTTTCTAGTTAATTGTGTCCTGGATCGTTAATGCTGTATATTTAGGAATTGTTATTCAAATTAGATTTACAGTAAAATCTGTTTTCACAGGTCCTTCAAATCGCTCCAACTCTGTGTCATCGTTGGATTTGGAAGGAGAGTCTGTGTCGGAGCTTGGCGCGGGCCCCTCTGGGAGCAATGGTGTTGAAGCTCTGCAGCTGTTGGAGCACGAACAAGGCAGGTGCCACTTCTCTACCACAAGTGCCTCAGGTGCTGTAGATGGTAAAGCTGAAGTTCTGTGGAAAAAGGTTGAGGAATAGATCAGTTCAGGAAAAAAACTAATAAAAATTTTCCACGTGCAAACACTCTTGCATTTATTTATGGGTTTGGTTTGTTTGTTTGTTTTCTCTAGAAATATTTCTTGTAGGCATTGTTAGGAAAAGGAAAGTGCATGGAATTTGAGGCTGAAGCCCTTTACAGGAAACTGCTTGTAAAGTTTTGCTCGATAACAAGATTTTCCCTTCAGGGAACAGGATGATCTGGATTGGAGTAGTCTTAGAGCATCTGGACAGCTTCCTGTTTAATATGAATTTGTTGAAAGCTGGGACAGGTTGTCCAAAGAGGTTGTGTTGTCTCAACCTTGGAGGTACTCAAAACATGACTGGATGTGACCATGAGCAACCTGCAGTAGTTGACCCTATTTTGAGCAGGGTGTTTGGACTTGAGCAATCTCTGGAGGTTCCTTCCAGCCTCAGCTCTTCTGTGATAAGTTCTTCTTACAGGAATTGTGTCCATTTCTTGATAGTGTGCTGTATGTTATTCCTTTTGTCTGTCAGTTTGGTTGATAGGTCACCATGTGTAGTTTAAGATTTTCCTCCTTATGTCTCAAATGTGCTTTAAAACTGTTTTCAGGCAGCATCTCTTGAATAGCATAATAATGCTTTGCAGGCCTTACTTTAAAACACTGTCTTACCTGGTGGAATTAGAGGGTTGTTTTGTTTGGATTTTTGTTCCTATTTTCAATCAGAACCAATTGGCAAAACCTTTTTAAAAAATGAGAACTTTTTGTTTTTACATAGCCACAACTCAGGATAATCTTGATGACAAGCTCCGTAAGTTTGAAATCCGTGATATGATGGGATTGACTGATGACAGAGATATATCAGAAACTGTGAGTGAAACTTGGAGTACAGACGTCTTGGGAAGTGACTTTGATCCAAATATCGATGAAGATCGTTTGCAAGAAATAGCAGGTAAATTGGCGGTGCATCGGGTATGTTAAATGCTCCATGCTTGCTCTGAAACAGGCTGCAGAGCCCTCCTGTCTTCCTAAATAAGCATGTTTTCATTGATTTAACGGGAGCTTTTCTGTAAGAGAATTTTGTGTGCATGACTTGTATTATATTTGGTTGCTCACTTCTATCTTTTCAACATTGTCTTTCATGGTTACTTTATTGAGGACACTTAAAATGTGTTCTTATTCTCTCTTGTTAGAGCTGTCTTCAGGAAGCCTATATCTAGCTATACGCTTCGGCTTTACTTTTGCAGGTGCAGCTGCAGAGAACATGCTAGGCAGCTTGCTGTGTTTACCAGGTTCAGGATCCGTGTTGCTTGATCCCTGCACAGGTTCAACCATATCGGAAACCACAAGTGAGGCGTGGAGTGTGGAAGTATTGCCAAGTGATTCAGGTCAGAATCGTGCGGTTTGTTTTTCTTTAGCTTGAATCAAGACTTTCCCAGAGATGTATAAGGCAAAGCAACAATTTCTCTCTCTCTCTCTTCAATAAATTATTATCCTAGGGTTACGTTAGTATTTGTGAATACTTCCAGTATTAAAAGAACAAATTGTTTGTAGACAGAGAGAAGATGGAAAGCATTGTGAGAGACTTACTGTTACTTAAATTCTTAAGGGCCAGAAAGGGAGAGTAGGGATTGCAAAGCAAACATGTGTTTGCTTTCCTTCCCTCTGATGTTCAGCCGGGCTATCTATGATCACAGTTTACTTTGGTTAATGAAGATTTGACTGTACACTGTTGTCTCTGAGAAATACAAAAATTAAAGCAGTAAAAACTCCTGAGAATGCCTGTGCAGGTAGAGCATTGCTATCTGTGCAGGGTCCTGCCTTCTGTATAGAAAGAAAACTTGGCTGAAGTGGTTGAGTTAGCTTAGAACTTAATATACTAAATCAGCACATACCCTCTTCCTCTGCATGTGAATATTAAGGAAGCATGACACTGAGTGATGATACTTTTCCTCTCTCCTCTCCATTGTCGCCCTTTTGTAGAGGCTCCAGACTTAAAACAGGAGGAAAGACTCCAAGAACTGGAAAGCTGTTCTGGGCTGGGTAGCACGTCTGATGACACAGATGTAAGGGAGGTCAGTTCTCGACCCAGCACGCCAGGCCTCAGCGTTGTATCAGGTGTGTTTGAGTTGTCTCTGAAACCATGCTGCTCTTTTAGAACATGATCAGCATCCGCTTTGTTGGACTTGCTTTAGTTATACATCATTTCACTCTTAAAATAACTTTCTGTACTCATTCTAGAATTTTAAAAGCCGTAATTCTTCATTCATCTTACAGAAGAAATAAAAAAGGCAGCAAAGTGTAAAATACTCTGTGCTACAATAGCAATGGTTAGCAGTGGAGTACTGGTTTGGAAGAAACTTAACTTTCTTGCATTTAGTTTTTTTATCAAATCACAACTTGTTTTATTTAAGTAAATCAGCACATATCTACTTCAGATCTTTGTTTTCTGCACGTTATCTAATAGAGTGAAGTGTCTTTGTAGTGCCCATTGTCAAAGTGTATTCGTGGCTGTGTTAAAACAGTTGAAGATGTAGAGCAGAAACAAAGTCTCCTTCTCAGAGCACAGAAATTCGGAATGTCTCTATGTGCTACTGTGAGTTAGGGTTTGATTATTGCAGTGTTCAGCAAACATTGTAACGGCTTCAGGATTTTGCTTCCTTTCTCTGAAAGACTATTACAGATGCTTCTTTTGTTATGTGTAAGGTATTAGTGCAACATCTGAAGATATTCCTAATAAGATTGAGGATCTCAGGTCGGAATGCAGCTCTGACTTTGGGGGAAAAGATTCTGTGACAAGTCCTGACATGGATGAAACAGCCCACGGTAAGTACATTACTTACCTGTAAATGAGAATTAGATTCTCTGATAACTGAGGTCTCACAAATTACGTTTGTAAAATCCTTAAATTTTACATTTTCTCTCCATTTCAAAGTTCTAGTGGCTAAGTGTAACATTTTCCTTATTTGCTAGCACTGTATTTGTTTGGCAAAGAGGCTCCAGTACTTTATAGTACTGGAGTTTGAGTACTGGATCTGAGATTACCTTTTCGTAATTCTTTCTAAAAGAACCTGGGAGGACAGGGACAGTATGAGAAACTGAAGAAAGTCATTGGTTTAATGTAAACATTGCTTGGCAACAACTAAAACATGGGTGTATTACCATATTATTCTCAGCACAAATCCAAAACATAGTGTCATACCAGCTGCTATGAAGAAAATTAATTCTATCCCAGGCTGCTATAAAGGAAAATTAACTCTATCCCAGCTAAAAACCAGCATGCAGTGCTAACTTTTTTTTCCTTTCTTTCTCCTGTATTTTAGGAGCCAGTCAGTTGACATCTCCTCCTTCTCAGACAGACTCTTTGCTTGCATTGTTTGACCCTCTGTCATCAAATGAGGGTGAGTTGTAATTTTTAAGGAAGCGTTTTCAGTGATACTATGTTGGTACCAGCTGATTTAGAAGAATCTTAAAGAAATGTGCATGGCTTTTGTGCTTATGACTGCAGGTGTATCTGCTGTAGTGAGGCCTAAAGTACACTATGCAAGACCTTCTCATCCACCACCGGATCCACCGATCTTGGAAGGAGCTATGGGAGGTAATGAGGCCCGATTACCAAACTTTGGGTCTCACACTTTAATTCCAGCAGATCTAGAAGCATTCAAGCAGAGGCATTCTTATCCAGAAAGGCTAGTCCGCAGTAGGAGTTCAGATATAGTATCATCAGTTCGGAGACCAATGAGTGATCCTGGGTGGAACAGACGTCCCGGTAACGAGGAGAGGGAGCTTCCTATGCCGACCACCAGCAGCGGAGCGGCTGTTCTGGTGGCTGCATCTCAGTCATCATCTTCGTCTCCCAGTAAAGACTCCTCTAGGGGAGAGGTAAGGCTTCTATTTTTTTAAAATATATTTTTTATATTTATAT